GCGTCAATACCAGGGTGAGCAGGAATGCTTTGGGAGGATGGACTCGGCAGAAGGAACTTAGACCACTGAGTTCGCCTGTGAAGGGACCCTGATCCTTGGCCATTTCCTCCCAGTATCAGTAAAGTGAGCACCAACCGTGTTACACATCTCCACCTTGAGACTGTGAGTCAAAACAAACCTTTCTTCCTTATACACTGTTTACCTCAGGTATTTTATCACAGCAACAAAAAACATTTCCCCCCTAAGCTTAGAAGCTGTTGTGTATTTACCGGAGGCTTCCCCTCAGCTTCCAGCTGGCAGTTTCTACCCTTCTCCCCTTCACTTCCTGTTACGCCTTCACTTCCTGTTTGCTCAGGGCTCAAAGCTGAAGAGTGACTCTCTCAGCACGTGCCTCTGAGGTCCTGTTTGGAACCTTCTAGACTCCCAGGACTGCTTCCAAGCCCTAACTTCTCATTTGGTTCCCAGCTTTCCTCAGACTCTGACCCATGCATTCTTCTCCACTCAGGTGTCCATAGGTGACACGCTGAGTCTAACGGATGTCACCTCCGTATCCAGCAGGGTCTGATCCTGAGGAAGTGAAGCAGGCTCATCAGGGAGCCTCAAACAGGTGAAGACCAACGCCTATACGTCCTGGTTTCTGTTGCTGTGATAAAACACTCTAGCAAAGGCCAGCTTAGGGGAGGTCCCACTCCGTCACTGAGGGAAGCGAACTCAAGCAGGGACTTGACGTGGCTAGCAAGGAGGGACATGGCCTGCTGGCTTGCTCGCGGGCTCACGCTTAGCTAGCTTTATTTATTTATTTACTTATTTTTCAGATTATAATATAGCTACATCATTTCCCCTTCTCTTTCCTTGCTCTGGTCCCTCTCATACATCATGTCTTCTTGCTTTCGTTAAAATTTATGGCCTCTTTTTCTGTAATTGTTTTATACACACACATACACACATACACACACACCTGTTTGTCATCCATCCCTCTGTCCATCCGTCCATCTATCCATCTATCGTCCATCCATCCATCCCTCCATCCCCCAACTGTCTGTCCAATCTATCCGTCTGTCTGTCCATCTGTCCATCCATCTGTCTGTCCATCTGTCCGTCCATCGATCCATCCATCGATCCATCGATCCATCCATCCATCCATCCATCCATCCATCCATCCATCCGTCTGTCCATCTGTCTATCCATCCATCTGTCCGTCCTTCCATCCGTCCATCCATCTGTCCGTCCGTCCATCCATCCGTCCATCCATCCATCCGTCCATCCGTCTGTCCATCCATCCATCCATCCATCCATCCATCCATCTGTCCGTCCATCCATCCGTCCATCCATCCATCCATTGATTCCTAAACATGTAAACACAACCTGCACACTTCATGTGATGCTACTTGTACGTGTGTGTTTGCAGGGCTGACCACTTGTTACTGGATAACCGATTGCTGTATTCTTCCCTAGGGTAGATTACTTCCCCCCCCCGCCCCCGGCATTTCTTATTTGCCTATAGTTCTCTGTGTAGGGTTGAGCCCATTTTAGCATGCCCACTGGTTTCATCCTTGTTCAGCTCAAGTTTAGGCAGCAGTGTTGGTGAGACTTCATGGGTGCAGTTTCCCTGGCATTTCTAGTAGACACAATCTTATAGCAAACTTCCTGTTCCCTGTACAGTTGTTTCATCTGCTCTTCTGAGATCAACCCTGAGCCTTAGGTGGAAGAGAGTATTATAGAGGCATCAGTAGGGACTGGGCTCCCTCCACGACTCTGTATTTTTTATCTGTTTTCTGTTATTGTCTTTATCTGTTGCAAAAATGTTTCCTTGATGAAGGGTGAGAACTACACTATCTGTGGGCAGAAGGATAAACAGTTGGAATGTAGCTAGGGACTATGCTGGTTTAGATTTCACTAGCCCTGGGTAGTTGGCCAGGTTGCCTCTTGACGAGTGGGTAGCTAGCTTCCTTATATAGCAAGAACTACCAGCCTAGGAAATGGCTCTGCCTGGAGTGGGCCCTCCTCCATCAGTTAACAGTCAAGCTTATCTCCCACAGACACATCTGCAAGCTGATATGATCTCGGGAACCCCTCATTTGAGACCTGCTTCTCAGAGGGTTCTAGGTTGTGTCAAGCTTCCTCAGAAACATGTCCACTTTGTTCCCAGGTACCAGTCTCATATGGGGACTGCACCTGCTGCTCAGGACTGGGCCTCGTAGGGCAGGGTTGAGAGGTAAAGGGGATTGAGCTCTCTTGGCTGTGCCTGGTGTTTCCATGCATTAGTGTCCTGTGACTATTTCCTGAGTTCAGGTGGACACCATACTGCCTGTTCTAAGCGTTCTATAGGGCCCACTCTAGGTGGCGCCATTCCCTAGGCTGGTGGTTCTGGCTGTATAAGAAAGCTACCCAGTCATCAAGAGGCAAGTCTTACCTGGTACTAGAAACCTAGTCAACTACCCAAGGCTAGTGAAATCTAAACCAGCATAGTTCCTAACTACATTCCAAATATTTATCCTTCTGCCCACAGATAAACGTAGTTCTAAGAGTCTGTGGCAGCCCCATCCCTTCATCTTCCTCTCACCGTCTTAGGCATTGGACATTTAGGACACTCCTTCAGACTCCTCACAAAAGCACCTACCCTGGAAAGTGAGTGGAGGAATTTCAACACCGTGAAGAACTCCGCTGGTGCCTGTGATCTGTGATAAGGTCGCATCAGCAGCCACTGTCATAGCACACCAAAAGACACCAGGTGCCACCACTTAGAACAACAGTTCTCAATCTCCCTAATGCTGTGACCCTTTGGTACAGTTCCTCATGTTGTGGTGACCCCCAACCATAAAACTACTGCGTTCCTACTTCATAACTGTGATTTTGCTACTGTTACATAATCGTAAGATAAACATCTGTGTTTTCCAATGGTCTTAGGTGACCCCCCCGTGAAAAGGTCACTTGATCCTCAAAGGGGTCGCAACCCACAGCTTGAGATCTGCTGACTTAGCAATCTGTAATAAGATCGATCTGTTATTACAGTGACCTGTAATAACTGGCAGTCACCACAACAGCCAAGCTCAAAGATATCAAGTGTCATCTGGTACCTAGACAGTGATCCATAGCACGGGCCATCAGTGGTGCTGTTGTGACTTCAAATGCTACCATCAGGCATCCCATAGACCCAGCATAAGACGTCAACATGGAGACACCTGGTACCTCGGCAAAGGCCACCATGGGAGGCTGTCTTCTTTGTCACATAGCAGCAAGGTAATGTATCCTCCACATGGAGGTGACCTCCACTGTCCCTGCTGCCAAGTGGACTCAGGAATCCCTGTAGGGACACCGCCATCATCTCCCTGATCAGTTAGTTCTATTTGCTCTGCCGTTCCAGGAGACAGTTCTCAAAGTCCCGCACCAACGGTGAAGTCCCTCAGCAAAGGTGAGGTCACATTTGCCTACATTTGGATGTCATGTCCTCCTGTCTCCCACGGGCACATTTCCTCAGCACTCTGGGTTGCTGTGGCCACTCCAGGCTTCTGGCTGTCCCTATCCCATGGTACACTATACCTCATCCTCCATCTGCATGTGGCCAGACCAAGGCCAGGTCTCCGTTTCCTACATCCTGGCATTTGCTTAGCCTCCCCGAGCCATGGATGGTCAGGAAGTCAGGATGCCACATTTCCTCACAGTGGACCCTGTGGTTGCTGGGTCAGAGGCCAGAGTCCCCTATTCTTTAGCACACATACAATGGCAGGCATAGGCAGCAAGAGGGGTGTGCTTTATTCAGAGCCTAGGGGCTGTTCAGAGTGGGAACCAGTATGCAGAGTTTCTGCTGCCCACAGGACCAGCAGCAAACCACAGAATGAGGGGACAGCTGACCTCAGGTCATATTTGCACCCCACAGCTGCCCATACAGGTCCAGAGCCAGGTGCAGGCCTCACAGAGCCAGGTGCAGAGCCCAGAAGTAGGTTCAGGACCAAGCCAGGTACAGAGCTCAGGGCAGATTTAGGCCCAGGAGCCAGGGCCAGGCACAAGAACCACGTGTAGAGGCCAAGTATAGGCCCAGGAGCCAGGTGCAAGAACCCAGACCCAGGTGCAGGCCCCAGACCCAGGTGCAAGAGCCCAGACCCAGGTGCAAGAGTCCAGAGCCAGGTGCAAGAGCCCAGAGCCAGGTGCAGGTCCAGGAGCCAGGTGCAAGAGCCCAGACCCAGGTGCAGGCCCCAGACCCAGGTGCAAGAACCCAGACCCAGGTGCAGGCCCCAGACCCAGGTGCAAGAGCCCAGACCCAGGTGCAGGCCCCAGACCCAGGTGCAGAGGCCAGAGCCAGGTGCAGGCCCAGGAGCCAGGTGCAAGACCTCAGGAGCCAAGAATAGACCCAGGAGCCAGGTACAAGAGCCCAGAGCCAGGTGCAAGAACCCAGACCCAGGTGCAGGCTCAGTTCCAGGTGCAAGAGCCCAGAGCCAGGTGGAGGCCCAGGAGCCAGGTGCAAGAGCCCAGAGCCAGGTGCAAGAGTCCAGAGCCAGGTGCAAGAGCCCAGAGCCAGGTGCAGGTCCAGGAGCCAGGTGCAAGAGCCCAGAGCCAGGTGCAGGTCCAGGAGCCAGGTGCAAGGGCCCAGAGCCAGGTGCAGGCCCAGCAGCCAGGTGCAAGAGCCCAGTGCCAAGTACAGAGCACAAAGCAAGGCACGGACCTCAGAACTAGGTGAATAGCCCCGAGCCAGATGCAGGCCGAGAGCCAGTTCGCTGTATGACAGTTACGACAGAGATGGTATGGGACAGAAGAGGTTTTATTGGTGCTCAGAGGCCAAGAGTCACACAGCTGGTAACAGGACCAAGCCAGCCAGATTGAGAGTGGGTGAGGTGCTGCAGCCAGCACTTCCAGGAGCTGAGGCAGGAGAGTAGCTGGGGGACACCCCGGCTCTTGACCTTGCAGGGCTAGTGAAGAAAGAATGAGGGTGAGTGGGACCCAGAACACCCAGCACGGCCATGGATCAGGGAAGACAGATGGAAATCAGGCTCACAGCTAGACACTCAACAGCAGGAGGAGGAAGCCCCGCAGCAGACTGCCTCACAGCAGACAGGCTTGCAACAGACGGGCACGCAGCAGGATGCCTGGCAGGGGGAGGAGGTGCAGCAAGCTGGCTGGCAGCCAGAGCAGATGGAGACACAGCACACTGGCTTGCAGCACACAGGTGTGCAGCAAACAGGTACACAGCAGGATGGCTGGCAGGGGGAGCAGGTGCAGCAAGCTGGCTGGCAGCTAGCCTGCTGGCAGCATGAGGGTGTGCAGCAGGAAGATTGGCAGCAGGGGCTGGACACACAGCTCACTGGGGTGCAGAGGAGGCAAGGGGCTGGGGCACAGCAGCTGGAGGCACAGCAGCTGGGCTGGGAGCAGCTGGGGACACAGCAAGAGGGCTCACAGCAGCTCTCTGGGCAGTCATCCACCTGCCAGGAGGAGCTGGTGCAAGCATCAGAGCAGACAGACATGGTGGAGGCGGCCATGGCGGGGTTGGCTGGGAGTTGGGAGTGTGTGTGTTGAATGACTGTGTGAGTGTTGAGGGTGTGTGTGTGTGTATGTGTGTGTGTGAGGTGCTCCAGGCTCCGGGCTTTTATCCTCCAGGTTTGTTTTGTTGCAGGAGATTCTGCGTACCTCCATTTCCTTGTTCAGTCTGGAGAGTGCTCTGCAGGGCTCAGTCATTAATTTGTGTTTTCCTGGCTACTCGGCTTGGGCTTGTGGCTTGGGGACACCTGTGACGTGGTTCCCCTGGGCCATCTGCCCCCTCTATCTTGTGTCTACCTGTCATGGTTTTGGAGACAATCCCTGGCTCTCAGGATGCATTCTGTGTCCCCAGCCTCTGACTTCAGTGGGGTGGCCTGGCTGGCCCGTACCAGGGAGCTGAGCAGGGGAGAGCTGACCCTGATGCTCACCTCAGGCACGCCTCTCCTGCATCCCAGCATCCTCTTGCCCTCTCTTGAGATGTGCTGAGTAAAACCGTGGGCAGAGAGACGATGTTGGGACCTCACACACCTGAGTCTCTCACAGCATGGAGGGCCTTAGAGTTCTTGCTGACGCAAGGGGGTGGGTGAGCACGGCCACTGTCACCAGAATCTCCCACTGCCCTGGGACGAACCAGTAATCGAAGAATGCACACAGAATGCATCCTTAGAGCCAAGGGCCATCCCCAAAACCATGACAGGTAAACAGCAGCTAGAGAGGACAGACACTCCAGGGAGACCATGTTCCAGGTGTCCCCAGCCGCAGGCTGAAGCAGAGTAACCGGCTCAACACCATAACAAGCATGCCTGGTGTTTGTGGGTGAGAGAACTCTCTATAGTGATTGAGTTGCCTCTCTAAGGAAATGTTCTGCCCATGCTCACAAGGAGCCAGAGGAGAGTTTTTCAGCTCCCAGTAACCTCTGGGCGACTGCTGGGTCAGGGTGAGAATGAAGGAGTTAAAACAGCCACGGGACCGTGAGTCGGTATCAGAGGTGCTCCCAGCTCTAAACTCCTACCAGGAAATGTCCAGAAAATTCAGGACACGATGTCTCAGGGCTTAGAGCTTCTGCAGATTTTATTACGCGCAGATCATTCAGTTGTAACCAAAGTTCCGCCTACACTCAAGTGATTTTTCTGCACACAGAGCACTCCACGTTCCTTAACTGTCAGCCAGAACCATCTGTGACCCCACCCCACCCCTGCAAACACGTGACACCACAGACTCAGTTTACTGTGAGACTTGCCTAGCGGAGCCCTCAGGAGTGTGAGCAAGGGGACGGCAGTCACAGGAAGTCCTCAGCGGAACACAGGGAGGCACCAGGAGCATTTGTCCCCTGTGGGACACAGCAAGCCTGCTGGCATGGCCTGGGAATAGGAAACCACAGTGTAAAGACTTGACTGACAGTTCAGTGAGCTCAGGATACGGGGAGGGTGCACGGAATGCCACGAGGAGCTACTGTATGCCCACTGGTAGTTTCAGCACTTCCTGTCCACTGCGGTTTAAGTGTGAAATGTCTCCAGGAGGCTCACCATGTGTTTGAACACTTGACCCACAGTAGGCTGTCAGTGGAAGGTCACAGGTGGTAGGGGCTCGGAGGTGGAGTCACATGCTGACTCTACTGGCTGGAGCTCTGCCTCTTGATCCCTAATACCCAGTCACATGCTCCTTATGCCAATACCTTCCAGCCAGGGCTAGTGTACCCTCTCAAACCAAGAGCCCAAACAAGCCTAACTTACCCACGCTGGGTATTCCCTAATGTTGACAAGAAAAAGAACCCTACTGAAAATCAGACCGGGGTGGCACTGTTGTTGTGGTGCATCTGACCATGTGGTCAGGCCTTGGAACTGGTGTGTGGGAGGAACATGGAAGAGTCTGTGGAAGAGTCTGGGGCTGGAAAAGTCCTGGAATATTGTAAAATGACCTTAATGGGCAATTCTGGTGGTAGGTCACATGATCAGAGGTCATTGCAGACAGTGAAGAACTGACTCAAGAGATTTCAAAGACTAGGGCTCTTCTGGGACCTGGACTCAAGGCCATTCACGGTTATGGTCTGTCAAAAGGGCTGGCTACATTCTGGCCATGACCCAGAATATGGAATGGGACTAAGTTAAAAATTAGTGGACTAGTTTGTTTGATGAAGGGAATTTTGAAGATAGCCTAGCATCAGGCTGTGGCATGGCTGACGCTCACTGCCTTTGTCCAGGTTTACAGTGAGGATTCTGAGCAGAAAGCACACACTTTTTTTTTAAAGATTTATTTATTTTCTTTATACAAATGCACTGTAGCTGTCTTCAGACATACCAGAAGAGGACACTTGATCTCATTACAGATGGTTGTGAGCCACCATGTGGTTGCTGGGAATTGAACTCAGGACCTCTGGAAGAGCAGTCAGTGCACTTAATTCCTGAGCCAGCTCTCCAGCTCCTGAGCAGAAAGCATAGCGGAAAGATGTGGAGAATGTGCAGCTGAGCGAGAAAAGTTGCGACTGAGTGAGAAAAAGTACAGCCAAGCATGTAAAGTCTTCAACAAAGTGTAGGTATAGCAGATGCCAAGAGCAGTTGTAACTGCAGAAGAGATCAGCGCACATAAGGAAAAACCACATACTATGAACTGGGAAGTAGAGATGGGCCTTGAGAAGAACATGCCCACGCCAGGACAACTTGCTCCAACAAGACCATCTATAGTCCCTCCATACAGGTACACAGAGGCCTCTATGGCTGTGGGGAAGGAGGTTCTGAAGAGTCCTTTTTATTCTATTTTGTCCCCACACAGAATCTAGGCCACAAACTATTTGCTATCCATCCTATGTGTAAGGTACTTTGCTTCTGCAGCTGATCAGCCTGTCTGGGTTGCTCTGAGGCAAGAAGCCGAAGTCTCTGGTTTAGCACCTCACAGTAAAACAGCGGTAGGCTAGGTACAGTGTTGATAGGTAATTGCACTTTTGTAAGTCTCAAGACAAGAAGGGGAGGGAGGCCTGTCTCTGCCCTTTGTTCTCAATACTTGTTCAACTATCAGAGCGTGTGTTCACATGGTACAAGGCTCACTACAAGTTTGCACATAAATTCAGGGTATAAATTGAATAAGAGGTTCTTAAACAAAGAATGTCTACATGCATATCCACTAGGAGCAATTATCTGGCTAAACATTCATCATTTGTTACTAGTTTACAGGTTCATGGAAAGTTAAAGACCATAACTAAGCTGACCTTGAAGTTTTGTATAGATAAGCCCAGTCAATATCTTATATAGACAGATAAAGAGAACCTGGCACAGAGAGGTTTAGCAGCCTGCCCCTGGCTGCCCAGTAAGACACACCATGATTCCCTGCATTCCAACATAGAAGGAAGGACGTACCTCGAGGAAATGTAACCTTAAGCAGCTGGGTTTAACATTCCCCTTGGAGCCAGGGAAAAACAAATTAGCACCTTGGAGCTTCCACATGATGGATTCAAGGACAAACACAACAGGATCCTCCAGACACAGAAGAGAAAAGATAATAAACAGAGTAGGCACCTCACCGTGAACAAACACGCCAACTCAGTCACAAGGGAGAGAGAGAGAGAAAGCACAAAAATAATCACCAAGAGACGAGGTGGCTTAAAAGAGAATGGCTCCCACAGACTCATGTATCTGAATGTTTGGTCCCCGGTTGATTGGAATGTTTGGGAAGGATTGAGATGCATGGTCTTGCTCAGGAGGCGTGGTCTTGCTCAGGAGGCATGGTCTTACTGAAGGTCACTGAGTGCTACTGGGATTTCCAAAGCTCATATTATTCCCAGTTAGTTCTCTGTGTCCCATGCTTGTACACTGAGGCATAAGCTCTCAGCTACTGTTCCAGCACCATGCTTCCCTGCCTGCCTGCCTGTGGCATGGTTCCCCTCCATGACGATCATGGACTCTAGCCCTCTGGAACTGTGAGCCCCCAAATTAAATGCTTCCTTTTATAAGTTGTCTTGGCCAGGATGTTTTGTCGTGGCAATAGAACGTAACTAAGACAAGAAATGATGGTTATGGAGCTAGGAAGATGGCTCAGTGGTTAAGAGCATTTGCTGCTCTGTCAGGGGACCTGGGTTCAGTTCCCAGCACTTCCATCAGGTGCTTACACTGAAACTCCATCTCCAGTGGATCCAGCATTCTGTTCCAGACTATATTCATGTGCATAAACACACATGCATGCACGCATGTGCACATGAATACAAACACACACATACACACAATTTTAAAAACCTTCTTTTAAAAAGGAAAAAAAAAGTTATTGGGGACACTGTCTTAGCTGAGTGCCTAGGAGCTGAAATACTTATGAACAAGAACATTGGCCTCTGAAGGACTCCAGGTCACAGAGGCAGCTGTACATCAGTGTGTTCTACGGCACTCCTGATAGCCCATGTGCCCATCAACGGGCGTGGACAGAGAACGTGTGCAAATGTGCCCGGCTGAGCTTCTATCCAAAAAGCAAATAAAGTCCTGTTGTTTTTAAGGAAATGACTATCACAGGGACAGTCACTTAAGGGAATCCAACCAATTCTCGGAGAGATAAATATTGTAAAATTTTATTCCATTTGAGGTTCCATTTGGGTAGAATCCATGTTTGTGGTCTAAAGTCCCAGCTAGCAACAGTTTGTCTTGTCGATAGACTAAAAAGACTAAAAAGAAAAGCTAGCAGGAAAACTAGGGTGTAGAGTTAGTAGAGCACAGAGACACAATCCAAGTCTCAATTAGCAGTGACACTGGCTATAAGTGTGACGTTGTGTGAACTGTCCTGGCTGTTGACAATGGTGGGCTCTATTAACATTATGCCCACTGCTGACATGACAGCAACCCACCTCATTCAACCCAGTGAAGTGATTGCGTCTTAGCTATAGTGTGTCAGCATATTTTCCATTCCTATAATGAAATGCACAAGGCCAGGTGCTTATGAAGAAAAGACGTTTACACAGCTCATGGCTCAGGAGACTGAAAGCCCAGCAGTATGGTCCCAGTTCTGTCATGGTCTCCTACCAACTGCA